TCAGTCCGCAGACTGACGCTCTACCACTGAGCCAAACCGGTTTTGTCTAATTCATAACTTTTATCTCCCTGTGTTTTTCTTCCTCTTAGCCTCCAAGAATTTTTAATTTGTGATTTTTTTGGGGAGGGCATTTTTTTCTTCTATTTTCTCTAAGGACTTTTTATCTTTGCAGATACAGCTGGCATTAAGAAAGCATTCTCAAGAAAAAAGGATCTGTAGTAATAATGCTAGCCCAGAGGTAGAAATAAAATGGCTCTCATGAATCAGGTTAAAATGTGACTTTTGCTAAAAACGTGTGGCAAGAATCTTGTGCCATAGATTCACTATCATCTATCTAATTAAAGAGTAATTTACAAATTGACCATACCTCTGCAACAAACAAAAGCACACCCAACAGTCAATCAGGAGAGAATATGGAAATTAAATCAACCAAGATGGCTGCGGCCATGGAGAGAGCAGGAGGCTTGGGTTTCCCCAGCAATGGAGGAAGCCAAGCTTTCCGCCTACCTTGGTGGGTCCAGGCCTCCGCTCAAGGCTACAAAGTTTCAATTATAGAATATAAATAAATCCCATCAAAACTGGCGGCAGCCATGGAGCTGGAGAGAGCAGGAGGCTTGAATTTCCCCTGGTGATGGAGGAATTCAAGCTTTCTGCCTTCCTGACCTGCCTTGGTCTCAGCTCAAGGCTACAAAGTTTCAATTACAGAAGATAAATACATCTCAGATCAGCTTGGGTTGCTTTGGGGCATGGCCAGCCTGCAAACAACCAAGGCCCCTTGCCCAGGCCACCCCACACTCCAAGAAAACCCCCACTCTGATCAGAGACACCCTTCAGGGCAAACCACCAGCCCCCACCCATGCACCAGGCCTCTATCCTATATAATTCTATCTAATAAAAGAATAATATGCAAATTGACCATCACTCCAATGCACAAGATGGCTGCCCCATATGGTCAAAGATGACTGCCCCCATGTGGACACAAGAATGCTGCCACAAGATGGCCAGCAGGGGAGGGCAGTTGAGAGACCTTGTAGGTCTGAGAGGGACCAGACCTACAAGGGAGGGCAGGTGGGGGGCGATCAAACCTGCAGGGCAGGCAAGTTAGGAATGACCAGGCCAGCAGAGAAGGGAAGTTGTAGGTGACTGGGTCTGCAAGGAAGGACAGTTGGGGGAGACCCAGGACTGCAGAGGAGAGCAGTTGGGGGGACCAGTCCTACAGGGGAGGGCATTAAGTGATGACTAGGCTTGCAGGGGAGGGCAGTTAGGAGTGACCAGGCCTGCAGAGGAGGGCAGTTAGGGGCAAACAGGGTGGCAGGAGAGCAGGTAGGTATCAATCAGGCTGGCAGGGGAGTGGTTAGGGGGTGATCAGGCTGGCAGACAGAAGCAGTTAGGGGCAATTATGAAGGCAGGTAGGCGAGCAGTTGGGAGCCAGCAGTCCTGGATTGTGAGAAGGATGTCTGATTGCCCGTTTAGACTCGGTCCTACCTGGATCGGGCCTAAATGGGCAGTCAGACATCCCTTGAGGGATCTCAGATTGGAGAGGGTGCAGGCTGGGCTAAGGGACACACACTGCCATGCAGGAATTTTGTGCATTGGGCCTCTAATCATATATAGACTTTAAGTTCTAATATGAAAAATATCATATTTGTCCAAAAATTAAGAAATGAACATTATCTTGAACTATGCGACAATTCCACAGCTTACCACAGTAAAATTAGTGCCTGCACCTCTATATTTAGGTTCCTTCATTATTCTGAGCAATGGGTGTGAAGGCTACTAAATCAAAATCTGGGAAATATCCCTGCAATGGCCTATTGTTCCAATGGATTATTTGACCTTTAATATTCAGCCTCTCTGTCTCCATTAACTTTCCACTCCTTTGTCTGCATATAGCACAGATATGATACATTTAGAAGTTGACACTTGGTTAGACACTAAATTTGGAAGAAAGAACGTTAAACTGTGTAGTTTAATGTTGTCCAGAAGCAGAAAAAGGCATGAGGCCAAATTCCCCAGCTCTTTGTTTCATCACATGATGTTGCTTGGATATTGGCTTATCAACAGATTGAATTTTCACCCCCACCACTGCAAGAAGCAAGGGACCTAGCAAAAAGGTATTTGGAATATGAACGCAAACTTTTAAAAAAAACAGGAGACTACAATACAAGGTAAGTCTCTTTAAAGCAAATATGTCTTTTTGTTTCATATATAAGTTATTTTGTAATTTTTTCCTCCTGAATTCCTAAGCATTTTAAACAAACTTTATCAGGTACAGACCATTTGAATAGGTAAGATGGATTTTCTCAGCAATAGTTCAAGAAAAGCACAACACATAAATTGTTGCCATGAGAAATATCATCAGTCATTTTCTTATGCTATTTAAGAAAAGAAAAGATCTTTCCAGTTTAGAAAAATATTTATGCTCTCCTCTACAGGTCTGGAAAGTAGGAGAAGGGATGTTGAGATGATTTGAGTACAGGAAAGAATATAGGCTTCTATCACAGAGAATATTAAAAGAGTATATCTTAGTTGGCATGGTTTCTGGAATGCATGCTGAAGGAAAACAGTAGTAAATAAAATATTTATAGTTTAATTTATAAGTTCTTATCATGGAAACAAGATACAAGGAGTTGCTGACTAATGTTTTCTTCATAAATTTCTCTTTTGGAATATCTGAGCCTGAGCTCTGTGAACCCAGAGCCAGAGTTTTCTGACATATTAAAATACTTCTTGAGTGTGTACTCATGTGTGCACATGTGCAAATACATGTGCATGAGTACACAATGAGAATTGGGGAGAAGAGAGATAAGAGGGAAGAAGGGGGGAGAGGAGGGGAGGAAAGAGGAGGGAAAGGGAAGAGAGGGAAGGAGAGGGAGAATGTTTTATAGTCTTTATCTCAGTTAACCAAACAACCTGAGGAGGTAGGTATTGTTGCCAAAGGCAAAATTGTGAAGAGAGAGGGAAATGCTCAGGGTTTCCTTTATATGCCTCAACAACCATAGTCCAATATGTCTATTCTTCTTTTTATTGTTAGCTTTTTAATTATTATATACCCGTCAGAGTCTAAATCCTAACTTACATGGAAAGAAAACTTAATCATAAGCAGTTGTGACTTCATTTTGTATCTTTGTCAAGCCAATAGCAAATAATGTTGCTAGGTTTAATAGTTGCATTTTAGTATGAAGCTATAAAATTGCAAATCTAAATCTGCAAGAAATGGAGAATGATGTAAAAGAATACTATACTGTCACTAAAAACCATATTTTATTGATTTTTATTTTTTATTATATTTTTACTGATTTCAGGGGGGGGGGTAGAGATAGAAACATCAATGATGAGAGTCATTGATATGCTGTTTCCCATATGCCCTCTACTGGGGACTAAGCTGACAACCTGGGCATGTGCTATGAGCAGGAATTGAACTGTGACCCCCTGGTTCATAAGTTGATGCTCAACCACTGAATCACACTGGCTGGGCTAAGAATCATATTTTAAAGGATATTTAAGGAGCTGGGAAATTGCATAAGACATAGGGTATGATCTCCCTTTTCTAAAAATCACACACTGTACTCAGAAAAATTAATAAAAGGAAATCAATCAAAGCCAATAGTAGTTATAAATAGTTAGGTTATGGATGATGTTATTTTCCTCAAATTTTAATTATTTAGTTTTTCATAATGACATCCATTAATTTTAGAATCAGAGAAAATAATAAATATTATTTGAAAATTTCAAGAAGTAACTACTCCAGCCGGTACCGGTTTGGCTCAGTGAATAGAGTGTCGGCCTGTGGACTGAAAGAGCGTCGGCCTGCGGGTTCGATTCTGGTCAAAGGCATGTACCTTGGTTGTGGGCACATCCCCAGTGGGAGGTGTGCAAGAGGCAGCTGATTGATGATTCTCTCCCATCGATGTTTTTAACTCTGTCCCTCTCAATTCCTCTCTGTGTAAAATCAATAAAATATATTTAAAAATAAAAAGAAGTAACTACTCTGATAACCTACTTGTTTCAAACATAGTTAAACAGAGAAACATAGGACTCAGAATTATTCTTCCCATTAAAAAGGGTATGAGAATGGAGCCCTGGCTGGTAGTTCAGTAGCTTAGAACATCATCCTAATATGCTAATGTTGTGGGTTCGATCTCTGATTCCTGGTCAGGGCACATATCAAAATCAACCAAGAAATGCATAAATAAGTGGAACAACTAATCAATATTTCTCTCCCTCTCCCTTGTTCTCTCTCAGAAAATCAACTAAAAATATATATATATATGTACATATATAAAAGAATGAGAATAGGGAAAAGCACAGAACTAAAGCAGTCTGATGAGGTCCCTTACTTTGAAACATATGAGAAAATTTCTTATCCTTTGAAATACTTAACATTTATTTATTTACTAGAGGCCCAGTGCACAAAATTCATGCACAGGGTAGGGGGAGGAGTCCCTCAGTCCAGCCTGTACCGTCTCCAATCTGGGGCCCCTCAGGGGATGTCTGACTTCTGGATTAAGCCCAGAATCAGGCCTAAACTAGCAGTCAGACATCCCTCTCACAATCTGGGACTGCTGGCTCCCAACTGCTTGTCTGCCTGCCTGCCTGATTGCCCCTAACTGCTTCTGCCTACCAGCCTGATCACTCCCTAACCACTCCCCTGTCAACCTGATCAATGCCTAACTGCTTCCCTGCCAGCCCAGTCACCCCAACTACCATCCCCTGCTGGCCTGGTGCACCCAACCCTCTTCCCTCTCCCTGCAGGCCCAGTTGCCCTCAACTGCTCTTCCTGCTGGCAATCTTATGGCAGCTATCTTGTGACCACATGGGGGCAGCCATCTTGTGTGAGGATATGATGGTCAACTTGTATATTATCACTTTATTATACAAGATTTATTTGTTTATTTATTTATTTGTTTACTTATTTACTTTGGTATTTTCTGAAAATTGGTCAAATAAGTGTAATTTTATGCTATGCTTTGTTGTTCCTTGGAGTTACAGGATAAAGAATGGGAGAAAAAGGGAAAAGACAGCAAAAGCTTCAGAAAGTTCCACAGATTCCCTGCATTCGAGTCCCTCCCTCTTCCTATGACACTTCATTAATGAAGGTACAGCATGTTATTCACAGATGACTAGACCTTCTCTGTATCTCTTTCAAGGCTTGAGGAATTTCCATGTCTTTGTTTACCTCACATTTAGAAGAACATTGAGCTCAATGTAGGCCTTCAGAGCATGTTGACAGTACATGTGAGAGAATAAAATGAGTGTGGAAATCTAACCCCACACCCATCCAGTGATGGTAAATTTGCTAACTGACCACACCCTTGCTCCTAGCTAGAAAGCCATATTAGTTCCTTTCAAAATTAGTTAAAGCCATTCCCATAAATACTCTTGGTAAACATTTCAGTTCTCTGCCATCTCCTTTAGGAGGAATAAGCAACTGGATAAGAATATTAGAAAGTTACTGTTACTTCTTACTTTGGAAGTTAATAGTTCTAGTAGGAAAAATAAGTAGACTTTTTTATCTTATTAAAAAAAACCATAACTTTTAAGGTTTTATCTTTATACTAGAGGTCCGGTGCACAAAATTTGTGCACAAGGGAATGTCCCACAGCCCAGCCTGCGCCCTCTCAAGTCTGGGACCCTTCAAGGGATATCCCTCAGGGATAGGGCCTAAATGAACAGTCGGACATCCCCCTCACAATCCAGGATTACTGGCTCCCAATTGTTCACCTGCCTGCCTGATTGCCCCTAACTGATTCTATGTGCCTGCCTGCCTGATCACCCCCTAATAACTGATCGATGCCTTATCAACACCTAACTGCTCCCCTGCTGGCCCGATTGCCCATAACTTCCCTCCCTTGCCAGCTTGGTGGCCCCCAACTGCCCTCCCCTGCAGGCCTGGTTGGCCCTAACTGTCCTCCCATGGGGGCCTGGTCACCCCCAACTTCCCTCCCCTACTGGCCCAGTCACCCCCAACTTCCCTCCCTCGCCAGCCTGGTCACCCCTAACTGCCCTCCCTTGCTGGCTTAATTGCCCCTAACTGCCCTCCCCTGACAGCCAGATCCCTCCAAATGCCCTCCCCTGCAGGCCACGGTCCCCCCGCAAATGCCCTCCAATCCAGGTTTTGGTCTTCCCAATTGCCCTACCCTACAGGCCTGAGTTCCTCCCACTGTCTTCTCTTGCAGGCCTGGGTCCTCCCCAACTGCCCTTCCTGCAGGTCTGAGGCCCCATCAACTGTCCTCCCCTGCAAACCTCGGTCCCCCCAACTGCCCTCCCCTGCTGGCCTGATTCCATTCAACTGCCCTTCTCTGCAGACCAAATCGCCCACAACTGCCCTCCCTTGCTGGTCTGGTCACCCCTAACTGCCCTTCCCTGCCGGCCATCTTGTGGCAGCCATCTGGTGTCCACATGCGGACAGCCATCCTGTGTATTGGAATGACAGTCAATTTGCATATTACTCTTTTATTAGTTAGCACTAGAGGCCCTGTGCATGAAATTCATGCACGGGGGTATATTTCTCTCAGCCCAGCCTGCACTCTCTCCAATCTGGGATCCCTCTCACAACCCAGACTGCTTGCTCCCAACTGCTCACCTGCCTGCCTTCATGATTGCCCCTAACTGCTTCTGCCTGCCATCCTGATCACCCCCTAACAATTCCCCTGCCAGCCTGATTGATGTCTAACTGCTCCCCTGCTAGCCTGTTTGCCCATAACTGCCCTCCCCTGCAGGCCTAGTCACCCCTAACTTACCTCCCTTGCAGACCTAGTCCCTCCCAACTGTCCTCTCCTGCTGGCTATCTTGTGTCTATATGGAGGCAGTTATCTTTGACCACATGGGAGCAGCCATCTTGTGTGTTGTAGTGAAGGTCAATTTATATACTATCTTTTTATTAGATAAGATAGAAGCCTGGTGCATGGGTGGGAGCTGGCTGGTTTGCCCTGAAGGATATCCTGGATCAGGGTGGGGGTTCTCTTGGAGCATGGGGTGGCCTGGGCGAGGGGCCTGTGGTGGTTTGTAGGCCAGCCACATCCCCTGGCAACCCAAGCAGAGGCCCTGATATCTAGGATTTATTTATCTTCTATAATTGAAACTTTGTAGCCTTGAGCAGAGACCTGGGCCCACCAGGGTGTGCGGAAAGCTTGGCTTCCTCCATTGCCAGGGGAAACCCAAGCGTCCTACTCTCTCCATGGCTGCAGCCATCTTGGTTGGGTTAATTTGCATATCCACTCCTAATTGGCTGGTGGGCATGGCTTTTGGGTGTAGCAGAGGTGCAGTCAATTTGCATATTATTATTTTATTGGATAAGATAATAGAAACTTCCATTGCATTTTGGGGAGTTTGCTCTTGAAATTGATTTGGGGTTTTCATCTTATACTAGAGGTCCAGTGCACAAGGTTTGTGAACATAGGTGGGGTTTGTCCTCAGCCCAGCTTGCACCCTCTCCAATCTGAGATCCCTAGGGGGCAGTCAGTTATCCCTCTTGCAATCCGGGACTGCTGGCTCCTAACCGCTCGTCTGTCTGCCTACCTGATCACTCCTAACCGCCTCTGCCCGCCAACTTGATGCCCCGAACTGCTCCTCTGCTGGACTGATCACCCCTAACTGCCCTCTCCTGCTGGACTGATTGCCCCTAACTGCCTCATCACTCATAACCCTGCTGAGTGGCAGGTATCTGGCTCCATCCTCCCTCCTGACAGAGTCTGGAGTGTGCTAAAGGATTCAGAGTAAAGTCCCCACCCACCTGCACATGCCTTAAAATCATGCCAGACCGTACCTGGATGGTCCCACTTCCATCGAGCAAAACCCAGACCTGGTTAGCCCACCCCTGTTAAACTTTACCCGTGTATCACATTTCTGCCTGGTGCCAGGCCGAGATGTAACTTTCTGCTGATTGGTCATTACTGTGTGAGGGCATGGCAACAATTTGTTTATTAGCTTTTTATTATTATAGATTGTTGTCAATCAGTTAAAAAAAAGCTTAATTAGAAATCCATTTTCTTTTTCAAATATATTATCTTTCAGAACACCTAATTTAGAAACTATAAAGTTGAAATGAAATCTCAAATTGTGAATTACTTGGTTTTGCTACTTTTACTCTGGACCTAAAGCAAAACAAAACTGACTGCATACAAATTTCCTAACAAATATTTCAACTCCATATAAAATTTCTAACAGATAAAAATCACTTTATTTTATAAATAATTATCTTAAGTTTGGATTTATTATATCATTGTCAACTAGTTTTTTAAAATTCTGTCATTGTTTTGAATTTTTTTAGTCTGGGTGAACTTATTTTATCTTAATTTTTCTACAATATTGATGCCACTACCTCAGTTTTCCCATCTGCACATAATAAGCACGTAAGAAATATTAGGTGTATAATAGTAATTGATGCCCAGGCCTAGTTTTTTCCTCCCTAGCATATGTGGCAGCCTTCTGAATGGCCTTCATGCCAATGGTCTTCCTCCTTTAAACTCACTCTCCAAAGCCCGATTATCTTTTTAAAATGCAAATATGATCAGCTTAAGGTGTGACATTTTGGACTGGATAACTTTTTGTCATAAGAGCTGGAGGCTGTCTCATGCACTGTAGGATGTTCAGCAGCATCCCTGGCCTCTACTTCATGAATGCCAGTAGCATCTCTCCTCCCTCTCACCATTTATGACAACCAAAAATTTCCCGACATTGCCAAATGTCTTCTGAGGGTCAAAATTACTTCTGTTGAGAGCCACTGCCTTAAATAAGACCTTCAATAATTCCTCATTTTTTAAAAAAAAAAGTTATATTTAAACTCTTAATGGAGCATAAAAGTTTTCCATGATCTTCCTTTGCCTAACTCTACAGCCTTTTCCAGCTCAGACTCCATGTTCTAATGGAAGTAAAGGAAAAATCTGCTTCCCAGTTTTTCCAGATACCTTGTGTCCTATAAGAAAAATTGTACTACTGTCTCCTTCTAATTAGCCCTTCATTTTCTTCTAAATGGTTCCCAAATATTAGAGTTCATGTATCAAAATTACTCAGAGGACTTGTTAACTTTCAGAGTGCTGGGCCCCACCCCCAGAATTTCTGAATCTACATATAAATCTAGGGTGGGCCTTCAGAGAATCTTCATTTCTAACAAGTACCAGGTGATGGTGATGACTTTTAGAATCAGGATTCTGGTCCCTTCAAGGATTTCCTATTCACCCTAAAGAGTGGATATGTTGATCATCTCATTTAGAAAGTTTCCTTGACTGCCTCAGGCAGAGTTGTTTTCTTCTTGTTGAACCCTTATCACATTGCCCACCTCTTCACCTACTTATTTCTCCTGCTTACTGACAACACTCAGTGGATAGTTCTCATTTTACCCATCCAGAGGCCTGGCATACTTCAAGACCTGTGTAGATTCTCACAGCCTATCTGTCTCAAAAAAGGACTCTAATAAATGAATTCAAACTAAAAAGTTCTTGGAACTTCCTCAGCCCAATACTCTGACCTTACTTACTAAAATCTTACTTAGCTATTTCACCTTTACACAGGCCAGTGTAGATGGTTTAATTAAATGAAGGAAGCAAACTACCCTATTCCTATTTTTTCCAATTGTTTTATATATATGGTGAGAATGAGAGAAAGAGGGAGAGAGCCATCTTATTTGAAGAAAAATCAACTTTGCATACATCAACTCTTAATTCTATAAACACCAACTCATCAAAATCACCTACTGTGCTTTGATAGGACCTGACTCCAGGGCAGCAGCGTTACTTTTACAGCATCATGAAGATTTACAACTCCAGGCCCCAGTGGGAGGCCCTGCAGACCCGCTATATTCACAGCCTTCAGCACAAGCAGCTGCTTGGTGAGTTTAACTAGTTGACCTGCACCACACACCTCAAGGAGGGACTGCTACCCTGAGCCAGAAGTCAAGTTTCCTGATAAAAATTTCAAGTAGAACGTTCTCTTCCAGCGAGCTATTTTCCCAACCTGGTTTCCAAAAAATTATCCCTGACAATAGAAAGCAAGTCTCTATGGGTAAATTAAGAGGATTTAAAGAGCATGGATTATTATAAGATGTCAACAATTCTCTGAGATTTACAGGACGTTGATCTAATGGAAACAGCCATGGCCTCAGGCAGATGGTCTAGGCTTAAACCACAGATCAGCCCCTTGCTGGTTACATAAACTCAGAGACTTGGTTTACTCAAAACAGGAGTATTTACACTGTTGAGCATTTATCATGTTCCAGACATTGTGCTTGGAGCTCTATCTGTACTTTCTCATTTTCTCCCCACTTTACAATTGTGGGAACCTGTAGCTCTGCAGGTCACAAAACTCAATCAAGACCACCCAGATAGTACATGTCAATTAGGACAATCACCTACAAAACTCAGGCATTTTTGTCCCTATCCTCCACTGTCTCTCCTCTTCTATAAACCTCATGGGATTTTATAAGCACAAATGAAATAATGGTTGTGAAAGATTTTATAGATCATAAACAACAAAAAGGTGTAATTGCTGTTAAATCTCTTTTTTTTTTCCTCAAAAAGTTTTGTCTTCAGCTCCTTTCTATTACACTCTTCTTCTAACTCCCACAGAGGTTTGTTTGTTTGTTTATACTTTAAGCTGTTACAGGATAGTGAGAAGCTAAGAAAACTCCCTAAGCAAGTGGACTAGGGAAACTGAGACAAGGCAATTACAAAAGGTCCAACAGTTTGGGGAGCTTGCAGCTAACTTGTAAATAACAAGCCATTATCTTCCCCACCCAAGGACACTTGAGAGCAAATGGCCAAACATCCCTCCTCACTAACTAAATAATTAAGAAAGGAGGAGGAATGAAAGGAGAAGAAGAATCTTAATGCATGTAATCCTGGAGAATACATAGCTGAAATCACCCTGAAACTAACTAAAATCAGAGAGGAAGGGGGAGAGGGAAGGAAGAATGCAGTCTTTTCCCCGCCTTGTCTCACTGTTTAAACAGGGAAGCCAGCAGTCTCAGAGGATTTAATTACCAAGTGCTTCTCATACATCCTGGGGGAAAAGTATACAAGACAGACACCCCTCTCCCCCACCACACTCACTCTTCAGATTAGCTGAGAGTCCATCTGTGCTTTATGCCAGATGATAGATATGCTTGCCTTACTTCTTTAATAAATTCGCATGTTTTACTTTCTTAATAAATTCACTTTAACACAGTTAATCTGGAGTCACTCATTTGAACTCATTCATATGAGAAGACAAGAGCCCAGGAGCGGAAGACAACTCTCTCCATTCAATTCAGGTTTTGAGCCTCTGCAGCTTCCATAGGGCTGTACCTCCTCTGCTGCTTGGGGGTGAAGTTTGTTTTTCCCTCACAGTAAAGGCACCCTCTGACCTCCAAGGGTCCTGCCTAAGCACTCCTCCTGGGGTTCAGTCACAGAGAAAAATGTGTTTCTACTGCAACAGCTCTTGGCCTACAGATAATATACTCCTATAGCCAACTCTGAAGGCAATGGGAAGTGAGATTTGGGAATCTAATCAGTGGCAGGGCTCTTCCATCTACTATCTTTGCCTGTAAGTCCACGGCCAGGCTTCGCCTGGGGAACAAACCTGTAGAGAAGGTGACTGCTGACTCACAGCTCATGCACACAACTCAGACCCCATTCACAGTCCCCATGATTCAGACCATCTCTCACTGTTCGTGTGCACGACCACACAATGCCATAATTCCAGTGGCAACTCCAACAACTAGCCACTTGCTGAGTTAGCTCTCTGTTAGTCCTTACCAGCTGAGGAAAGTTCCAGTAACCGCTGTTGCTAGTTCTCAGCTGCTCTGCAGACATGCTGCTGTAGCCATATTCAGCTACCTTCCTTTCTCCTGTCCCTGCTTATGCCAAAGAGCCCACCTTAGTTGTTCCAGTGTGTAGGTCTCTCATGTGTGCATCCGTGTTGAGCAGGGACATTTTGTTGAATTATATGTGATTATTTTATTGAAATGTCATGGGGAAAGGCTAGATGTGCCCTTATGTGCCATTCCTCTGACATTACTCTAAAAGGTTAGTTTTCAAAATATAGAAAGAACTCATAAAACTGAACACCAGGGAGACAATCCAATATAAAATGGGTAAAGGAGCTGAATAGACATTTCTCCAAAAAGGATGTGCAGATGGCCAAGAGACATATGAAAAAATAATCAATGTCACTAATCATCAGAGAGATGCAAATTAAAACTGAAATGAGGTATTACCTTACACTTGTCAAAATGATTACCATCAATAAATCAACGACAAGTGCTGGTAAGGATGTGAAGATGAAAGAACCCCAGTGCTCTGCTGGTGGGAATGCAGACTGGTGCAGCCATTGTGTAAAACAGGGTGGAGTTTCATCAAAAATTAAAAATGGGCTGAAACCGGTTTGGCTCAGTGGATGGGGCATCAGCCTGCGGACTGAAAGGTCCCGAGTTCGATTCCGGTCAAGGGCATGTACCTTGGTTGTGGGCACATCCCCAGTGGGGGTGTGCAAGAGGCGGCTGATCGATAATTCTCTCTCATCGATGTTTCTATCTCTCTATCCCTCTCTCTTTCTCTCTGTAAAAAATCAATAAAATATTTTTTAAAATTAAAAATGGGACTGTTATTTAACCTATCAATCCCACTTTTGTGAATATATCTTAAGAAACCTGAATCACCAGTCAGAAAGAATATCTGCAGTCCTATCTTCATAGCACTGTTATTTACAATAGCTACGATCTGATAACAGCCCAATTGCCCATCTGTAGGAGAGTAGATAAAAAAATACTATGGTACATTTACACAATGGAATACCATTCAGCATTAAAAAGGAAGAAACTCCTATCCTTTATGGCAACATGGGTGGACCTGGAGATTATTATGCTAAGCAGAGTAAGCCATTTAGAGAAAGAGAAATATCACATAATCTCATTTATAGGTGGAATCTAATGAACAAAATAAATTGATGAACAAAAAAGGTCCAGAGGCATGAATGCATGGAATGGAAGAAGAGATCTCAGTTGGGAAGGGGATTGTAAGAGATTAACTAAAGTGTGGGGGGGGGGAATATATATATATATAATTTTTTCTTCTCCCCATGGACACAGATGATAGTGTAGGGAAAGCCTGTGTGGGAAGGGGCTGGGTGGAGTGTGGGAAGATAGTGGAAATGGGGGACATCTGTAATACTGTCAACAATAAATAAACAAGTAAATATATCCTCCACAAAGGGATTGAATATATCTGTTTCTGGCCTGAACAAAGTTTTGCTACTGAAGATAAATAATTAACATGAAGATTCTTCATGGCTCAAGTCCCTGTCTAAATGATCTATCATGATAATCAAAGACTGTATTTATTAATTTACTGAATGCTAAATGCAATAAAAGGAAAATATACTTCTTATCTTAAAAAATCATATAATCTGGGTGTACTAAAAACAACTGTTTTAATCATGCAGAGTAGAAGAAATTTTATGAATCTGTGAATATTTGCAGTGTTGTTTGCTTATTTGTTTTGTGAAATTGTTGACCTTAGCATTTCTCTCATTTCCCCTCCTGCCCCTTCCAGGTTATATAAGTCAAAAGGAGGCCTTGGCTTGTGCTGCTGTACTTAGAGATTCAACCAAGAAAGCCTCGGCCAAGGAAGCTCCTCATAGAACCATCTCCAGAAGGGCTTCAGTCATGACAAGAACATGGTTGTCAACACTCCCTGTGTCTGTGGTTCCACCCAGGACCAAAAGTGCAGGGCTCTGATCCTTTGGGAACCATGACTTCACAAAGCTGTAACAGGTTGTTTGCTCATACCAGGGTTGGTATCTAGCGAGTGCTTAGTGTATATTTGTTGAATGAGCATGAATAAAATCTTGTAATACAAAACCACAAATAAAAATAACCTTTCTCGCATGCACATAAATTTGACCAGCAAGAAAAAGTTGAGAGTTTTAATGGAACAAAGAGTAATTAAGCCTTTCACTCCACATATAATTTATAGAGTAAAATGACCTTTGAAACTTTCAAAGTGAAAGCTTCTTTTGAACTGGAACCTCCCAGAGAAGTCCCAAGAACAGTGAAAGGGAAAAAGTCATCAGAGGGTGCAAGATCTTCTATCATTGGGGGATCATTCCTGAAAACTATCCACTGCAGATACCAAAAATATGCAAACACTGCGTAGTACTGAGCATGCAGGGCTTCCAAAGCCATATTTTCACAGCCACAACTGGACTGTGCATTTCCATGTCTCTCTTCCTCTCTTCTATCCCATCAAGCAACAGCAATCAACTTGGCCCCAAATCTTCTGGATATTGTCTGACTCAACAATCCCTTAGAATTATCTTGAAACTTAGACTTACCAACCTGCTACATCAAGGTTCATTCTATATGCTGTAATTGACCTTTGCATGATTAAGATAATTCAGGCACACATCTCCCCATACAAATCAAGATATGCTCATGCAGAAAAAGGAATAGCTTCAAAACACAAATTTTATTTCTAATTTTTCTATAGCCTTGATGGTTTTAAATAAAACACATAAGTCTATACAAACAAGCAAAAAAAAGTGAGATAACAACTGGTTCTTTGAAAAAATAAACAAAAACCAATAAACCCTTAACCAGACTCATTAAGAAAAAAAGAGGATCCAAATAAATAAATCAGAAATGAAAGAGGAGAAGTAACAACTGGCACCACAAAAATACAAGGGACTATTAGAAAATATTATGAACAACTATATGCCAACAAATTGGACAATGTGGATGAAATAGATAAATTCATAGAAACATACAAACTTCCAAAATTGACTCAGGAAGAATTACAAAATCTGAATAAGAAAACTACAACTTTAAAAAATCAAAACAGTAATTTAAAAAAAAGTCTTGGACTTCACAGGTAAATTTTTCTAAACATTTAAGAACTGATACCTATTCTTCATAACTATTTCAAAAAGTTCAAGAAGAGGGAAGACTCCCAAGTCGATTCTATGGAGCCAGCATTATCCTAATTCCAAAACCACATAAAGATACCACAAAGAAAAAATTATAGACCAATATGTCTCATGAAGATAGATGCTAAAATCCTTAACAAAATATTAGCAAACCAGATCCAACAATATATGAAAATGATCATATAACATGATCAAGTGGGATTTATTCTAGAGAATCAAGAACAATAGCCACAAATCAATAATGTGATATGCCATTTAAACAAAATGAAAGATAAAAATAAATTTATCATATCAATAGATGCAGAAAAGCATTTTATAAAATCCTGTACCCATCTATGATAAAAACTCTCATCAACGTGGGTAGAGAGGGAACATACCTCAACATAATAAAGGCCATATATGACAAACCCACAGCTAACATCATATTCAATGGGCAAAATCTAAAATTGTTTCCCTTAATATCTGGAATAGACAAGGGTATCTGCTTTCACCAATCTTATTAAACACTAGAGGCCCGGTGCACGAAATTTGTGCATGGGGCTGGGGGATGCTGTCCCTCAGCCCAGCCTGCCCTCTCCCCAATCTGGGACCACTCAAGGGATGTCCCACTGCTCTTTAGACCTGATCCACTGGGATCGGGCCTAAACTGGCAGTCGGACATCCCTCTCTCAATCCAGGACTGCTAACTCCCAACTGCTCACCTGCCTGCCTTCCTGATTGCCCCTAACTGCTTCTGCCTGCCAGCCTGATCACCTCATAACCACTCCCCTGCCAGCCTGATTGATGCCTAACTGCTCACTTATGATTCTGAGCTGCATCCCTGAATCCCAAATATCAGAAGCAACTTCTTTCAGATAGAAGATTTAAAAGTTAATTGGCAGGTGAATGTCACAAGCCCATAGAAGCACAAATAGATCTAAATTGGCCCAGAAAGTTCTACCTGTTGACTCTCCCATCAGAAAAGATAATACCCTTCCTCTTAAGCCCCAGACCAAAGCTTATAAAGAATATGAATGATTATGGTACCGAAAGAAAGATGCTCATGTGAGAGGACTCTGAGAAAGATGATCAACGGGGAACCAAGAATAGCCTGTTACTTTTAGGAAAATCTACTACTTTGATCTATTGGAGACTAAATAGTATGCTTTCACAATGTCAATAGACATCATCAAAAAGTTCTTGGTCAGTACCATTTTACTTAAAATTACTAGAACCTGGAATAGTGTTTGGTCTGTGGTAGTTAATCAATAAAACTGGTTGAATAATAATGAAATGTTCAAAGACTGCAATTCAGACTGTCATCTGAGTTTGTGATATTATTCCAGGGTTCCAGGAAGTCACAGCTACTGATAAAAACTACCAGTAATTTATCAAGAACAGGTGACAGGAGTAGTCCATCTCAGTTGCAGACCATAGGGGTGCGTTGTCTGTCAAGAATTTTAAAACAATAATAAAGCTAAAATTTGGCCTTCTTTCTGTCATCTCCATAAGCCAGCAATAATTCTAAATAATATCAGTGATAAAAAACTCCTTTCTCAAAAATATTTTGTTGGTCAAAGTTCTAAATAAATGCGGCGGTTACTATTGAATTTTACTAGTCTATATGTAAACCATAAAATAGTGAATTTTCATTGATTTCCTTTTAATAATCATTTTGTTCTTTATGGAAAATAATTCTTGGAACTCCCAACCTACAAAGTATCGGCTCACAGATCTCCAATCATTGTGGTACTATATATTCTTGCATTTAAACAAAAGATCTGAAATGAATAGTGTATATCATGATTAGAAAAACAAGAAGTAGAACCTTACTGCAATTCTTTATTTTATGTGGCCACTTAGCATTTTTATTTTTCATATAATTTTATTGAGGCACAATTTATATGCAACAAATGTATTTAATTAAAGTTCAATGAGTCTTGTCAAATGTGTATAGTCACATCACCATCACCACAATCATGATATTGTTTCCATTACTCAAAAAATTTCCTTGTGTCCTTTTGTAGAAAAAATTTCTTCCCCCAGGGAAATCATTGATTTTCTTCCTATCACTATAGTTTTTTCTTTTCTAGAATTTTACATAATTGAAATAACATTATATAGTCTTTCGTGTCTTCTCTCATAACATATTGTGGTTCATCATGTTGCATATACAGGGTGGAGCAAAAATAAATTTATAGTTGATCATGTATAAAATAATACAATAATTGATAGATATAAGAACAAATTTTGTTTTTGCATACTTATAACTGTAAACCTACTTTTGCTCCACCCTGTATGAGTAGTTTGTTCCTTTTCATTGTCAAGTAGCATTTCATTGTTTAGATATAGTATAGTTTGCTTGTCCACTCACTAACTGATGAACATTTGGATTGTCTAATTTTGGACTATTACTGATAAAGCTGCTAGAAACATTTTAAAAAAAATATATTTTATTAACTTTTTACAGAGAGGAAGGGAGAGGGATAGAGAGCAAGAACATTGATGAGAGAGAAACATCGACCAGCTGCCTCCTGCACGGCCCCTACTGGGGATGTGCCCACAACCAATGTACATGCCCTTGACCGGAATCGAACCTGGGACCTTCCAGTCTGCAGACCAACGCTCTATCCACTGAGCCGAACCGGTTTTGGCGCTAGAAACATTTTAATGTAAGCTTTGTCTGAAGTTTTTATTTCTCTTAGATAGATACCTAGAAGTACAATTATTGACTCACATGATAGATTCAGGTTTAACTTTATAAGATAATGCTTTAGTGTTTTCCAAAGTTTTCACACCATTTTTTATTCCCACTAGCAATGTATAAGAGTTCTAGTTATTTCACATCCTTGCAATATCAGATATTTCTTCTCCATCCCCCCCCCCGCCCTTTTTTCCTTTGGTATTCTAGTGACTCTGGCTGTCACTATTAGAGTCACCTTATTTGGAAGCATGGAAAATTTCAGGGAAGGTGATCATGCTAAACATGAGGGTTGTGATGGCAATAATCTTAGAACTTTAGTAGAATTTTCAAAATTTAGTAATCAGTCTTGATAAAGGAACTGTCTAGTTTATTTTGTGGGGAGGAAGGATTTTAAAGAGGTGAAGAAGAAAAGAAACAACATCTGCAGGAAGAACCACCCCTGGACAGAGCTGTTATGTGGGTTCAGTATGTCCTTAGTAACTTCTCACAACCAACAGGTAACCACCCCCCAAAAAATCTCTATGTATTGTATTAGTTATCTATGGTTGCATAAAAAGTTCCTCTGAAACTTAGTGACTTAAAACAATGTTACTGTCTCACAACTTCTGTAGTCAGGAATCTGAGCATGGCTTAGCTGGAGCTTCTGACACAAGGTCTCTTATACACCACAGTCAAAATATTAGCTTGATTATAGTGATCTAATCTGTAGATTCAACTAGAAAAGAATCCATTTTCTAGCTCACTCTTGTGCTTGTTGGCAGAATTTAGTTCCTTGGGAACTATTGGACTAAGTATTCAGTGCCGTACTGGCTGTTGTCTGGTGACCATCTTCAGTTCCCTGTCACATAGGCATCTCAATAGGATGGGGATTTGCTTCAGCAAAGTTAGAAATCAAGAGAGAGAGAGAAGCCTTTCATAACCTAATCTTGGAAATAATATCCATCCTAAACAAAAGTAGTGGTTTTCCCATGGGAATAAATAGCATAAAGTGAGGATCATTTGGAGCCATTTAAGAAGCTATCTATCAAAGACACAACTAAGGTAAGAAGAGTAAGGCCCCTAGGATGCAGAAGGGAAGGAAATACTCATTATTGCATGACTTTGAGAGTTAATGCAATGCAGTCCTTCCC